AATGGTGTGCAGCTTTCTCCAAAGCTAAACAGTAACCAGTCGTCCACGTGTGCCCTTTATTAACGCACACATGTACAGGAAACAGCAGATACAAAGACATAGTTAAAGCACTGTTTAAAGAACATTCCTGTGATCTAGTCTCTACAATTTCTCCGGATACTTTCACTAGTTATCTTAAACTTTCAATATTTATGTATAAATCTCACACATGACTGCACACTGTCATCATAACAGTGCGTTCGAGCACAGGTGCAAGACCTTCAAACTTGAGGGGGGAGCGGGGGTGTTGGTTTTTTGTTGGGTTGGGGGGGGGGGGTTGGGGGGGGTGTTGGGTTTTTTCTGTATTTGTTTTGTGTTTCTTTTATTTTCTTCTTCTTTCGTGGGTGGAAAGTGGGGATAATTTCTTCTTTATATCCAAGTAAAAATTTTAACGACTGACTTCAAAAGCGAGTAAATAGTTTAAAGATACACTGTACAAGTGCATGTGAACTGTTGAGTACTCGCCGGGCAGTGATTGATTACAAGACAGGTTGGGTTTCAAATTACTTGTTGACAATAACAATGTGTACTCTTAACGGAAGCCTGGCACCCGAGCTGCAAACAAAGTTGTCTACGTCATTGCAGACGCAACAGGCTTGCTCCGTTGTCTCCATAGACTGCAAGTGTTCTTTAGCAAGGATTTTTTTTAAAACAAATGCTGATCCCCACTCGGAACCGAACCATGCTTTTTTTTATGTAGATATTTTTAAGCCCCCATCGATACAACGTGCATCGGTTAGGAAACGGTGTTCCGACCCTGCCTGTCAGGGCTAACTTTCGCTCAAAGGGATACAACATCCATGCAGAAAGACCGAGATACTCGATAAAAATTCTCCCCATTCGACAACCGAACTGGGGTCTCCTGCGTGCGACAGTAAAGTATCTAACCGCTACACCACAGACTCTGGTGACTGACAATAGATCTTCTCAGTGTTGGCCAAATCCCAAACGTAATGCACTAGAACGACTTGTGTAAAATTACAGGCAAGGGATTGGTCTTAGAGTAAAGACCACTTCGGCTCGACAAGTCAGTGTCATATTGTATAAAACTTTAACACCCCTTCTACACTGTAACTGTAAGATTACGTAAGAAACGGGACCTCCGAATGTAACGCTTATCTCCAATAGGACGGAGCCAAATAGAGGAAAGCCTTAAAAACTCTCGTAAAAATAAGCCTAGTTCAGAACGATCAGTTGGCGATTCGAGCAAAGGCCACCCGCTCTGTAGTCCAGTATGATCGAAATATATTATATATATATATATATATATTATTTATAATAGCTGGTTCAGATTTTAGAAATGGTCTCCCACAAACATGTGTCCCCAGCCCGGCAGCTAAAAAATAAATAAGGGACCCCCCTTAATTTGGGCGCCCTTATATTAAAAAAATTGAAAGGAAAAGACCGCGGGGGAAGAATAAACCCCGCTGAGGGGGGGGGGGGGGGGGGGCTTCGGTCTATTCGTGAGAATAAAAGTCCTAAAAGGCCTGGCAATCAATGCACGGTACACAGTCTGTGACATGCCAGCGACTTTTTAAAAAGTACTTTCGTCAAACGTACGGCTTGACACAAGTGAAGTTTTAAATCCGGGGCCCGAGACCTCTATAAACATCAAGACACACACATATATATATATATATATATATATATATATATATATATATATATATATATATATATATATATATATATATATCGTTACCTTACGAAAATAATTTTTCAAATAGAAAACTAGACTTTTATTTACAAAAATACTAATTCAAGTAGAACTTTAAAAGAGTATTGCTATAAAACGGCTAATTCAATGCTGTAGTTTCAGCAAATATGAACAAAATCGATAAGTGTTTTCGGAAGCAACATTAGCTAAATATAGTAGTCTTAAACGTTACTGGACAAAATATAAAAAGGAGTGTGCAGAAAAAGGACGATTTGTTTCTTAAAAATAATATGCACACCTACTGAGAACATGTATTATAATACTTCTTTGATGTTATCTGTCATGTTTTTAGAAGAAAAAGACATCAACTTATTGACTCATTGAGCAAATCCTTGAGACTTCGCATTTTCGGGACAAAAATCGTGTGGCAGTTACAAAGTGAAACATGAAATTTCCCAATAGTCAAAGCAGTAGCAGCAGCAGCAGCAGCAGCAGCAGCAGCAGTAGTAGTAGTATTAGTAGCAGCAGCAGCAGCAGCAACAGCAGCAGCAGCAACAGCAGCAGCAGCAGCAGCAGCAGCAGCAGCAGCAGCAGGGTAGAGTATCAAAAAAAGGTATTCACATATCTCCTTCATTATCGTTACTAACATTGTCAAAATACATCGTTCATCGTGGCAGCAAACAGTGTTCTAGAGCTATCTTTCTGTGATTTCTTGTGACATTATGATGATGTTTACTTCCCACAAATGTTTCCATGGCATGGTGATCATATTGAAGATTATTTGGGACCGCAACGATTTTTTGTGAGTTATGTAGCATCCCATTTGGCACACTGTTGATGAATAGTTCCTTGTCTGTAGTTCGAACAGGAAGATTGAAGCAAATTTATCACAGTATGGACTTCTACTTCTCTAACAGCTCTTTATGATTTCAAAAACACGTAACATTGCCATTGAGCATGAAACAATTAGTGTATGGAATGTTTACTAGCTTCTTTTCAAAGTCCAACTTCACTCAGCAAGGATGAGGAATTCCAATATGTCTTTTTGCCGCTGTTTTGATAAAGAGTTTTCTGACGTACATCTTCCAACGTTTGCTTTCGAGCTGCTTTGACTTTTGGAAAGACTTTCATAACTCTGTGGACAGCTTGTTTGCATGATGAGGGTGTCTGTATGACACTTCCTCGAATATATTGAACCTCTTTTTTCTTTTTCTCTGTGTCTTCACCTTTTTCATTTATTTTTTTTGTGTGAATGGAACCACACGAGCATATTATTGACAGCTTGCTTGACACTGGTAGATCTACAAAATTTCAATGACTATAACAAGAAGGAAAACGAGGAGAGCTAGCAAAAACTGTTTGTAAAAACAAAAATGAAAAATAAAAGCAAACACACAATGCATTTACTTTTATTCAAAGCAAGACATTATAGAGTTGACCTCTTTTCAATTAATTTGTAGACCAAGATCTACCTATCCATCAGTTCTCCATAACATTCCCTTCTTAACACTCTTTCAATCTGTCTCTCATTATTTCTTGTCTCAATCGTCGAGATGGGATGTCTTAAGTTAGTAGTCTGTTAGGTGAGTTTAACCATTAACATTTCATGCAGATAGAAAAAGGAATCACGACTCATTCAAACTGAATCTGCACATCTGCTTTGGTCGTCTGGTAAATTTCTCTTCAAGAGGTGAAATTCACCAAAACTTATGATGCATTTAAGTAATCGGGTTCGCCTACTTCTTTCTTTCTTTTCTCTTCAGAGTCACCAAGTCGATCAGGAGAAACGGCGCCAATATTTTTCAGTTCATTTTCAACTGAAACTAAAATTGACATGGAAAATCCCATACAACGTTATATCACTTGCGTCTCCCTTTTCACCTTGTTCCCTGTTTACGCCTCGTCACCACCAAGCCTACAGTGTGACATTACCAAGAACACGACATATCAATATACTTTGTATTCCATTGACGGAGTCTGTCTACAAAGCTAAATTACTGATGTTCGATGTTAAATATTTGAAACACCAAGCCAAGCAGCCTTATCCTTGTATTTGCAATGTTTCAGACAACGATAACAAGTTGTCACCTTTAATTGCCCCAACTGCCATCCCCAAAGCTAGAAATATGTGGCATCGACGCGTGAAATCCTTGAAATGAAATTCTTAAAGAAGCTACTCATTTTACAAAGATTATAACACAAAGACCAAGGCTAAATCGTTAAAATGAAGAAATCAAGCTATTTGTCCAATTTCCATTTCAATACAACAAACACTATGAAAACCAACAATCCTTGTTTTGGCCGGATCCAAACTCATCCATTTCC